CGGCCGCGCTTGACGCCGACTTCTCCGAACTGGACGCACAGTACCAGCACGTCACGCTCCGTTACCCCGGCCGGCCAGTCATCATTGGCGGTGATCTAAACTGTTGTATGCTAGCTGATCCCAGTTCACATGCTGGCTGCGAGAGGTTAACCGCCTTTCTGAACAGATACTCGCTCACGCAGACCATCTCGACTCCCACTTACTCCACCGGCTCCCTTCTGGATGTTTTTATTGTCAACCGTAGTTTCGTTCTTAAATCAGGTACTAGGTTTTGTCATTTTAGTCCTCATCGTTTCATTCGCATGATCTGTGACATCCCACGATTTAGACGTAAGCCTACTGTCACCAAGGCTCGTATGTTCCGTAACATTGACATCGCTGATTATCACCTTGACCTGTCGTGTTGTGACTGGAGCCAGGTCTACTTATCAGACACCGTATCCGACAAGTGGGATTATCTTGTTGACGCCGTGCGCGGTGTGCTCGACCGTCATGCCCCCGTTCGCTCGGTTAAAATCCGCAACCCCTCTGCCCCTCCCCTGTCTGCCGCCACGCGCGACCTGATGGCTCGCAGAGCCGCCGCGCTCTCTAGCCGCGGGCACGGCTCTGACGAGTACCGGGCCGCTAACCGAGCGGTGCGTGCAGCTGTGCGGGCGGACAGTCGGAGCGATATTGAGGGGCGAATCGCAGCGGACGGTCCGGCTTCGGTGTGGCGTAACTTGCGGCGTGTCGTGAGTGGCAAGCGAGATTCGCATGTCACTTTTCCCCGCGTCAGTGGTGACACACTGAATCAGTTTTTTGTCGATGTAGGCGCAAACATTGTTTCCGATTTGAACTCCGGTGTGCACGAATCGTCTCGGCAAGTGCCTGTGCGGCTACAGCGAGTCGGTTCGTGCGGTTTTACCGTGCAACCCGTCAGTCTCGAATTTTTAAAGAACGTTGTTTTTAGCATGCGAAACTCATCTGCTCGTGGCTCTGACGGGCTTTGCATTCGCGTTTTTAAGATGTCTTTTAGTGTGATCGGACCTGTTCTCTTGCATGTTGTGAACTCCTGCCTATCCATGAATGACATCCCCGCATCCTGGAAACATGCCCAAATCCACCCCATCCTGAAGTCCGGTGATCCCAACAATCCTGCAAACTACCGTCCTATTTCCATCCTCCCTGTCATCTCGAAGGTAGTGGAGAAGGTCGTACAGCGACAGCTTCAACACTACCTATCCTCCAACTCTCTCCTCTCCCCTACCCAACACGGCTTCCGTCCACATCACTGTACCGAATCAGCCCTTCTCCAAATCTCTGACCGAGCACTTGCTGGCATGGATCAAGGCCACATCTCTCTGCTCTGTTTACTTGATCTGTCTAAAGCTTTTGACGTGATTTCCCATTCTAAATTGCTTGACAAGCTCGAGCTGCACGGCATTGACACTGCCTGGTTTCGAAATTATCTTGACGGTCACACGCAAAGCGTAGCCATCTCTGCCTCACAGAGCTCCCCTCCGCTCAACATTAGCCAGGGCGTCTTCCAGGGGTCATCGTTGGGTCCTCTCTTGTTCAGCATCGTCGTTAACGATCTTAGCTTGTACGCTGGCGACTCTTTTATCATTCAGTACGCCGATGACACCCAGGTTTTAGTCTCTGGACACAAGTCCGAGCTACCTGACCTTATCTTAAAACTCGAGGCATCTCTCCAGTCGCTTGGTGATTACTTTCATTCGAACGGTTTAAAACTTAACGAGTCAAAATTCGAGCTACTTCCAATCGGCTCACGTCAAAATCTGCGAGACCTCCCACCGTTCACGGTCAAGTTTCGGAAAGCCGTGCTATCACCTTGCACTGAAGCAAAAAATCTCGGTGTCACTTTTGATCGCCATCTCACTTGGGACTCGCACGTATCGCAACTATCACAGAAGTGCTTCGGCATCCTTATCGGTCTCTCCCACATCCGCCACTACCTACCATCCGGTACTCTCCCAATCCTTGTGTCTGCCCTCGTCCTTTCCCACGTCCGCTACTGCCTCTCCGTCTATGGCAACGGGTCTGCCAAGAACCTCGCCACCATCAACAAAATTCTAAATTTTGCGGCCCGCATCATCTCCGGCAAAAAGAAATTCGACCACATCTCCTCTGTCCGTGCCTCCCTCGGGTGGCCGGACCCCTCCACTATGGTTCAAGCCCAAACCCTAAACATCCTGCACAAAGCTAGACGAACAGGTCAGCCCGAGTCACTAGCTGCACTATTTGCCACTAATGCCGAGCGCCCAGACTAGAGTTCTGCACGGCTGCAATTTTCCACAGCCTAGCCGCCCCACAGCCGTGGCTCCACAGCCACAGCCGCCCACAGCCGTGGCAAACTGTGGGCAGCCAGCCGTCAGCCGGCCGTGGATACTTTCAATGAAATGCAACCAAATAGTATATAATAAGTTGTTTTTAGTTGAAATATACCTATAGCCAAAAGCACATTGCAATGGGCTGTAGATTCTCAAGCTCATGAAGCATCATAGGTTAAGTGGTTGTGTATCTGGCTTTAGGCCGAAGGCCTGAAGCCTGATGCGCATCGCATGCCTACACAAGTCCCTGCAAGGGGTTAAGAAAGATGGGTAGGTAGGTGGTACCTACTACCTACATCAACAGAAAACAAACAACGAACCAGAATAGAAGCACTAGCAGTGTAGATATATAATGCCAAATCCTGAAGCATGGTTGTGGGACAGAACAACAGACCCTGATGCTTTTCATTATCAATGTTAGGTATGGAAAATGTAACTGAAGTTGATGGACTGTCAAACAGTGATTGTCTTGTCAAAACTCTTGCTTCTTTCTTACCTTGCATATTTTCTGGGGTGTGATATGCCAGGCTTGAAGCAGCCTTCTGAGCAAGTCTCAAACTAATTTGATATGCAAGGCATCATCAAAACACTAGTGAGCATCCAAGAAAGGAAAACGTTCATATATTTTGATTTTTCCAAATAATGATCTTCGCTCAAATCCCTAAGGACGTGCGAGCCACAATTGCTTCTTTCAATCAAAAATTTTACTTGAGTTTTTAATGACGTCAATAGCAAAAAGTGGCGAAAAATTGTTTTGTGTCACTAAAAACAGCCATAAAAATTATTATTTATAAATAATTATGCTATACAATTGAAAAACTTGCTCTCAAACAAAGACTGAACATCAAATTTTTACATTTTCAGAAGAAGACGTCATTTTATTAGTAAAGTCAACGGCTCGCGTAATAAATATTGTGTTCAGGGTTTTCACCGTCATGTGAATTACGTGTTCAGGGTTTTCACCATCATGTGAAGTAAGTAAGGTTCATGCTCACTTATATTCTAATTCCATTGGCTTCGTTCATGAGCATTTTCTGTTAGCGGTCACACACACACCAGTTAGAACATAAAGCGCCAGTTTTATATTATGTAATTGGACTTGCCGAAAATCCAGAAATACATCTGAGAGTTATTTTAGATAATATTTTATGAAGCCTTTACCTGCCTTCATCTAGGCGTGATTTCTTTTTCTATTACCTGAAAGAATTATTGAACGCTCGTCTTCAATAGCTGTAAGGTGCTCTCCTAATGACCAGGTGAGATTGATTTGAGAGGAATGTGACAATGCAACATGTTGCATTTTCTGAAACTGTCAAGCTCTTAATGATGAAGGAACAATTGGTACCTATAATTAGTATTCTGTACCAGAAAGCAAACTCCCCTACAGCAAATGGTAAAACTATTACAGGTTTTCAAAGGCTTCACCACTTTCAATGTTGCTGGGCATCCTTTGCATGATTTTTACAAGCTAGACTGCTTATCAGAATGTAAGATTAAGGATTTAAAATTTTATATTTGAGTACTTAAGATTGAGCTTGAAATCTCACAGCCGTGGCCACAGCCGTAGCCGTGTTCTTGGAGATATTTGCAGCCGCCCCGGCCCACAGCCGTGGGGCTGCAGCCAGCCGCGGCTGCAGCCGGCCGGTGCAGACCTCTAGCCCAGACCGTAGTCGCAGCACCAGGCAGGACCACCTGCTTAGTCTTCCCCGCATACACGGCTCGGCTGCGGGGAAGCGGCAATTCGTGTACCGCGCTGCCGCAGGCTATAACGCCCTACCACGCGAGTTCTGGGACATGTCCACCTCGATGTTTACCAGCAAGGTCTTAGAACTCTTATCTTCGGTGACATGAGCTGACACGTCGCTGTAACCGCTTTTAGCTTATGCATCGTGAGTGTAGTGTGGTTTATGTGTGTTCACTTTTTATCCTCATCATTGCATTTCTTAGCGTGTGTTGACTCTGACTCGAGAATAGCCCTGTGATTCCGATCTCATGAAGGGATGAGTCTATGACGTAAATACAATACAATACAATACAAGGTCAAGATCAATCACAGACTTCTCAAAACAAAGTCAAATTTGTTACCAATGAATGCTTTGGAAATTTTGAGTAAGGTAGTTAGAGTATGTTTTCCAGTATACAGTGAGTTAAACATTGATACATGTTTAATGTAATGTATGTAATATTTAATGTATACATGTCTTGCACATTATCTTTTTTGTAAGATAATTATCCTCATGGTATTGGAATTTGCTGGCACTGATAAGTTGCCCTTTAACATTGGTAGACTGATGTGTTTGATGTTGCAGTTAACGTGTTTGCCCATTTGTTATGACATCATGCATTTGGGAGAAATGTGTCATGATTGTCCTTTTTCTTCATCCAATGTCATTTAGCAAATCAAATTTGAGTTCAGAAGGTTTGTAAAAAATGTTTAAATTTTTTATGACAGTATAGTTGACTTTCATAATACCGACAAAATACCAAATGCTTTTGGTATAAAATACCGAATACCGAATCGGTATCGGTTCGGTATTGGTATACCGAAATTTTGGTAACCGATTGACACCACTAGTCCCGAGTGATACCAAACGTGCCAGCCTTTCGTACACGGAGTTCAGCGTTTAACTACGTGTGTTCTGTAACACCAACTGCTCTGCTCTCCCTCAGGTGTACGCTGCCGACTCTTCAGAAGCGGCACATGGCGGTGGCTCGGCTCAAGCACCCGGCTAACTTCGGCCGAACTGCCAAACAAGTCAGGCTGTTCGTGCTCGTACTCGTCCCGAGCAAAGAGGTGGGTGTGGCCGACGCGGCGCTCGGCGGGGCCAGCGCTCGCTCGCTGCCATGCCGGGGGAGGCCCCGGTCGCTTCGGGGCTATTAGATCCGGCTGGAGGTCGGTCGTCCTGAAGTTGGTCCCTGGACGAGCGGTAAAGCTGGGGGCTGTGGAGCTCGATGGTCCAGCCCGGGGATGGAGATGAGGGGTTGTCTGGTTCAGCACTGTTCAGCTAACATGGCAACGTAACTTAGATATCGTTAGGCAGACAACGGTATACCATGGTTTACAAGATAACATTTGTTATCGATACTTCCCTGGGCTGAGTGACAGCATTCTAGTCGACAGTCAGTGTCATCAATCCCTACGTGACAGAATGTTGAAACGTCAAGCGGTGACCAGAGCACATGCACTATGCAATCAAATAGTCGAAGGTCGCCGTCTCTTTGGAATGATGGCAGCAGGAGGCTGTCAGTTGGTATGACCGCTGGGCCGGTTCGATCTGGGATTGATGGCAGCGCGGCAGGTTATTCTGTGTCACCGGGGCCGGCCGGCCGCCGATTGCAAGAAGATGGGTGGCGGTCGGGGGGCGGACCGGCTAACGGATGGCCTCGTTCAAATCGGCGCCACTCTCGCTGGTCGGCGTCGTGGGATGACCGCCGGAATTGGCACCGTCAGCCCCTCCCCGGGGCCGGAGCTGCCGCCGACGGCCGCGGCAGATGACACATGACCGCGCCGCGGCACGTCACCGACCCGGGTGGGTGGACCGCGCTGCGGGGGCGGCGGCCTCCGCGGCACGGGCGACGGGGGCGACGGTCATAGAGACATGGGAGGCGGGGTGGCCACGGTCTAACGGGTGGTCCCGCCTCCTCGCGCGAGAGATGCAGGGGCCCGGGACTCAACGACACGGGCGCGGCCCGGGAGACAGACGGCACCAGCAGCAACGGTAGTGCTGGGGCTGTCGTGGGCGGCAGCACGGGAGGCGAGGGCGACCATGGGCTAGCGGGCGGTCCCGCCTCCTCGCGGAGGGAGGGGGAGGCACAGGAGGCCGCGGGAGGTAGGGGCGCCATGGGAGGCGGGGTGACTGTCCCACTGAGGCATGGACGGAGGCACGGAGTGGCACAAACGGCACAGGCAGAACGGGAGGCTGTCACGGCCGGCAGCATGGGGATGAGAGCGGCGGCAAGGCTACTGGAGGCGGGGGCGGCCGCCACGTCTGGCCTCGCCTATTATGCGAAAATCCCGCCACCCGGTTATTCTGAAAGGGGCAAGTTATGAGACTGCTAATGTGATAAACGGCACAGTATTTTACGCGGGCAGCTTGACAAAGCTTTCCAAGCGTGGAATGAGAGGCCCAGTTTAGAAGGCAGGCTGAAAATACTCGAGGCCGATGTGCCAGAAAGTCCGTTCCATGGTGACGGTAATTTGTTACAGCGGAGTCACGTTTGATGGCTTTGTCGACAGCACGAGCAACATGTAAATAAAAACACTGCAGAGATGGAAAGATAGATGGAAACCTGTTGCATGCTTTACTTAATATACATTCGCTTAGGTGAGTGCAAATTACTTTTTTTGCATAAATCAATCGATCAGACTTCCAACTACAAAATTACGTTTAATTCGCTTGAATCGTTTGGTGTGACCAACACGAAAGCTGAAGTGGGACATTTGCATGTATTCCATAATGAAAAAAAATGATTATACGAAGCTCGACGCGAAGCTAACTTCGGGGGTCAAGAAGCTCCATCAGTAGAAGACATGTTGAATACCGGCGTCCCTCAACCGTCCGTGGGGCGTGGCGATAGGGTGTCGCCCAGTGATGCCGTCCCATTGCCCTCCGACAATGGCGGTGGGGCGTCAACGCGGCTGGCAACATCGCCCGTCGGCGGCCGTAGGACCTCACCAAGGTGCGGTACATTAGCGTCGCTCGCCGGCCGACGGAGCGTGGCGGCTCTGTCGGCGGTTCCGGCGGCTGTAAACGTGCCCCTCAGGCCTGACAGCAATGGGCCGTGAGGTAGGCTCCGTCACCGGCGCCGTGCCGACGGATAAATCAATGGTAACTGAGGCCCGTCACCGGCCTCAGTACTGACATTAACGGTCTGGAAATAACTGCATTACTGGTCACGCCAGGTGCAGATAATTCTATGTGTAGACGACAATGCCAATTTGATACATCGCGGTCTTATAAAATAGATGTTCGTTCATCATACGGTGCTTGGCCTTTGGTGCCCATTAGCACTTAGAATGGCCAATGCGCATTGCCCACATATCCCTGGTCTCTTCATTTCACACCTCTAGCACCCACTCAGCATCCCCATCTCACTCTCCTCCAACATCTTCGCCGATTGCTGTTCCCCGCCGTTGGCCTTTCGCGACATCAGCCAATAGCCATCCGACGGCTCCGACGTGTTGACCCCAGGGCCGAGCTGTCGTCACGGGCCGGCCGATCGGCGCCAAAGCCGACGATCGCGGCCGATTCAGGTCGAAGAGTCGGCGAAGTGTTTTTTGTTGGTGCCGCCGCCGCTGCCAGCTCGGGCGCCGCCGATTACCGTCTGTGCTCGCCGCCGCTCGGCTCGATCGCCACCCGAATGGGTCGAACGTGCCGGCGTGCCGAAGAGTTAACCGGGGGCTCCGCTCCTGACCGACCGCGACGCGCTGATGAGGCGAGGGATGACGACCATGGTCTTCATCACAGACCATCACACGATGACGATCGCGGCTCCAGACCAGTGCAGCTTTAATCACAGACCAGCGCGGCCGGGGCTCCGTCACAGACCATCGCGCGACCATTGCTTTCATCACAGTCCGACGCGCGGTGACGGCCGCAGCTCTTCTCACACACCATCAACTCATTAACACAAGCGTGCTCAGAATAATGAGGTGGGTGTCACCGGTGCGGGGATTAAAGTAAGCGATGTCAAATGAATGGGCAGGCGACATCAAATGGGTGAGGAAAGTAGACGAGTTCGCTAGAAAAGGATGTCGGCGCGCAGCGGCCGAGGGGCAGAGGAACACTTACAAAGGAATGGGCTGATGCCAAACACTTATATTAAAAGGAAATATAATTAAAGCGTACACATTCAATTATGTTCTAACCATGCTTATGCAAATATAGTATAGTGAAGCTAAGGCAACAAATATTGGGCTACAAGTAAAACAAATAGAGTTTGAAATCCTTGTGCTTGTTAAGAAATGTTAAAATCAAATTTTACTTCGCTTTCAATCATAGTCCAGCCTGGGATCCTATAGTGTAAATTTAGATTAACGCGGTGATTACCCATCCCCCACCTACACATGTGCTTAACTCAGTTAATTATTTTAACCCTCGCCCGTATTGGTGTTTTTCCAGCCGCGAACGTATAAGGGGGGGGGGGGGGGGTCCGTTGGACCCCCCCCTTGCCGTTTCGCCCCTGATCGAGCTAGAGCTTCGCGGAAAAAACGAGCGTGTTGCCCGTGACGAGAGGAAGCCGATGATACCCAATTTTCAGGTCCTAGGTCATTGGTTGACCTTGCAGGTCAGGTCAATGACCCAAAAGTCGGGAAAATCGGGACCTGTTAGAACGTCGTAAAGTGTGGCTGCTATGGGGTTTTTCGGGGTGCTGATCACGAATATCATGTTAGTTTTGATCACAGATGATGTCTTCATGCATTTAGGCCGGGTCGGGTCAGGTCAGGTCAGGTCAACCAGTAAGGGTGTTCGTAGTAGGTGGCAACCGCCTCTGACAGCTTCGTAACATGTTACGAAGGCACCAAAACTACTTCGTAAATGTTCATATGGTTGCTAAATTCGAATTCAGCTCTAAAAACTGGCCTAGAAACATGTAAAACTCGAAAACGTGAACCGAGGTCATCAAAGGTCAATGACCTGACCTGACCTTCAGGTGACCTTGACACCCACCCTAATGCATGGGGGCAACATCATATCACATGTTTGAACGCTTGAAACCACGAAAAGACTGCAAACGCGCGGCTAATGCGAGCCGACATACGCCGAATCGCGATTCCGGCAAAACATGGTCTCGAAAAGTAGGTCACAGGTCAAAGGTCATTTGGGTCAGGGTCATGAAATTTTCAGGGTAGGTGTAAAATTGATGAACGCGAGGGTACTGAAAGTTTCGTCACGATCGGCCGCTTTTTACGCGAGTTATTCGCGAAAAACCATGGGGGGGGGGTCCGTTCGACCCCCCCCCCCCCCCCCCTATACGGGCGAGGGTTAAAACAAATGCAAGCAATTTAACCTCAGCTGGGTGTGTATTCAATTCCAGTCCTAACAACGTCCATATCGATTTTCTCTTCCATGAAAAATTTCCCGTCATGCGACCCCCCGAGTTCATGGTCAACGGTCATGCGACCCGAGGTCATATCAGGGTCTTTCCGTCTCGGCGTCGCCCTCGGTTCTCCGCGGTCTGGTCGGAGCAGCCTCATTGCCGCGGGCGGCGCCAATCTGCCACCGTCAACAGCTTGAGCAAAGGTCACGGGGTGAGCGGGTCGTGTCCGCCGGCGCCGGATGACTGCCCGTCACCGCCCCCCGCCCCCATCCCCGCCCCCGCCCCCGGGGGCCGCCCAGGCGCCGCGTGCGACGGCACGGCCATGCGACAATCAGCCCCCTTTGAGTCGTTTCAGACTGACCGGAAACTGTGGGGGCCGGCTGCCCTCAGTGACACGTGGTCCAGTGTGTGTGATGTCCCTCCCCAGCGCGTGGTGTCTCGCCGACAGGCTGGGCCACCGGACGCGTTGCTGCCCATCTCTACAGTGGGTGGGATCCGGCCGAGCGCGGCCTCTGCGGGGGCACTCGGAAGACGGCCGGCGGCGCGCCGGACCGGCCGGCCGGGACCTCACGGTATTGATTGGGGAGCTCTGAAAGAATCCGCGCCGCGGCGGCAGCCCCACGACGCCGCGAGGTCCCACCCGGCTGCCAGAGCGCAGCGCTGGGACCCTGACCCAGTCTGAGCGCGCCGCACGTGCAGTGGGGGCAGTGTGTCAGCCGAGGTCGGTATACCGAGCGCACTCGTCAGCAGGCA